GGAGGACGGCGACGACGCGAACGACGAAGAAGGAGGGAGGACGGCGACGCCGACGACGACAATGACGAGGGAGGAGGGAAAACGACGACGACGACCACGACGACGACGACGGCGACGAAATAGGAGGGACGACGACGAGACGCCGACGACGGACGACGACGACGACGACGAGGGAGGAGCAGGAAGGACCACCACGGCGATAACGACGATGGAAACGACCACGACGCCAAGGAGGACGCCGATGACGAACATGAGGCAAGACAGATGACGACGTAGGCGACGACGACGACGACGACGCGGGAGGAGGGAGGACGGCGACGACGACGCAAGAGCGCGCGCGCACGCTTTTGTTGAAGATCCGCGTTGCGAAACAGTGTGTTTTTGTAGGTTCTTTGGACACACGATTTTGAAATCCTTCCGAAACCGATGGGTTTTGAAGGTTTTCGGCGTACGCGCGCGACGACGCGCTCGTCTGCACTTCGTCCCGTTTTTTGCAGAGGATCCTCACGACGGCACACGCGCAAGGGCGTTCGACAGATTTCGACATGCGCGCGCGCGAAGCCTGTTTGGTAGCTCTTTTTTTTTTTTTTTGCAAATCTTGAACAAACAAGGTTGTCTTAAGATTTCGCAAGAGCTCGCGCGGAAGCTTGTTTAGCAAATCAGTGTTGCGAGACCCTGTGTTTTGGGAAACTCGATTGCGAAATTTCTCCGGCACCGAAGGTTTTTGAAGGATTTCGGCATGCGCGCGCGACGACGCGCGCGTGTGCATTTCGTCCCACTTGTTGCAAGGGATTCGCGAAAAACTGATATGTTAGAACAACCAATACCACCGAATAGTGTTTTTGATACAAGGGAACCTCATGGGGGGGATACCGGTTGGCATTTAGGAGGGACATGTGGTCAGAATCATATGTGATTTACATACCCGAAAGGTGAAGCGATAACGCCCGAGGGGGGTGTAGAATCTATTCTGTTTTTGATGATTTTTACCCATGAGTTGACACATCCCACGCTCTTGCAAACATCCCACCCACCCACCCGCAACTTGGTTTGTAAAACCTCTCAAGACCGACTACGACGACACCGACGACAACGACTACGACGACACCGACGACGTTTCCGATGACTTCGACGACGACAATGACGCCGACGCCGACGACGACGAAGACGACGACGACGACGCCAACGAAGACGACGACGAGGGAGGAGGAAGGACGACGACAGCGACAACGACGACGACGACGACAACGACGAGGGAGGAGGGAGGACGGGGACGACGCGAACGACGAAAAAGGAGGAAGGACGGCGACGCCGACGACGACAACGACGAGGGAGGAGGGAAGAAGACGACGACAACGACGACGACGACGACGACGGCGCGACGAAATAGGAGGGACGACGACGAGACGCCGACGACGGACGACGACGACGACGAGGGAGGAGGAGGAGGAAGGACGACCACGGCGACAACGACGACGGAAACGACCACGACGCCAAGGAGGACGCCGACGACGAACACGAGGAAAGACAGAGGACGACGTAGGCGACGACGACGACGACGACGCGGGAGGAGGGAGGACGGCGACGACGACGACGACGCAAGAGCGCGCGCGCACGCTTTTGTTGTTTTTTTGGACACACGATTTCGAAATCTTTCCGAAACCTATTCGGTTTTGAAGGTTTTCGGCGTACGCACGCGACGACGCGCGCGTCTGCACTTCGTCCAGTTTTTTGCAGAGGATTCTCGCGACGGCACACGCGCAAGGGCGTCCGACAGATTTTGACATGCGCGCGCGCGAAGCCCGTTTGATTGTATTTTATGAAAATCTTAAACAAAAACTATGATTTTTTGCTTAAAGAGATTTCGCAAGAGCTCGCGCGGAAGTTTTTTTAGCAAATCAGTGTTACGAAACCCTGTGTTTTTGTATTTTTTTTTGGGGGGGGAGGAAACTCGATTGCGAAATCTTTCCGGCACCGAAGGTTTTTGAAGGATTTCGGCATGCGCGCGACGACGCGCGCGTGTGCATTTCGTCATGTTTTTTGCAAGGGATTCGCGAAAAAGTGCTATGTTATAGCCAAAACTGTCACCGCATAGGTTTTTCTACAAGGGAACCTCAGGGGGGGGATACCGGCTGGCCAGGGACATTGCGATTTCATATTTAAGATGGACATGTGGTCAGAATCATATACAATTTACATACCCGAAAGGGGACGTGATAACGCCTGGGGTGGGGGGGGGTAGAGTCTATTTGTTTTTAGAAAGGAGAATAAAGGAAAATCCATGTGGTGCAATGTCAACGGCCGCGACGAGCGGCGACGAGCCGGCGACGAGCTGGCGACGAGGCGGTGACGGGGCGGCGACGGCGACACCATAGCCGCCAGACCGCCCGCCAGGCCCGGACAACGGGCGGCGACGAAGCCGCGACGCGACAACGCCAGACCGACCGGCAGGCCCAGACGACCAGCGGCGACGAGGCGGCAATGGGGCGGCGGCGGCGACACCATGGCCGCCAGACCAGTGCAAGCCTTGTCTCGGGAACTATTTGAATGTGTGTACATGGAAAACCAGGTCCGCGGGCACCGGGCAGGGACCTCGACCACAAATGTGTGGACCCGGCTGCCCGGGGCCCTACCGGCGCGCCGGAGGCCCTCCAAGATCGCCCGAAGACGGCCCCAGATCGCTTGAAAACCCGTTGAAGACAGCCGAGACGGCCCGTGACGGCCTCATCTTGTCTAGAGTTGGCCTCCTTAGACTGTCCAAGAGGCTTCCAAGACGTTTCAAGAGGTCCCCACGAGGCCTCCCGTTCGCCGCCATTTTGGCTCAAGACATTGTGGCAAGTCCTCAGGCATTTGGAACACTTGGTTTGTGCCTATTGCCGCCAAACCCTTCTTACTCCGCCGTTGCCGCAATGAACGTCGTGGTGCTTGGAGCGTTCGCCATCCTGCTCGTCGGCCACGGCTGCGTCGCCGCCGACGACCTAGCCAAGACTTTGGAGGAGCGCCGCCTGATGGAGGACGACTCGCACAACTGCGACGCCACGAGCGAGGCCGACGGCGTGGGGCTGCTCCAGTCACGGACGTCGGGCCCCAGCCAACCGCAAATCGCGAACATTCGGAAGGACGAGACGCAGGACCACAAACAATACGAGGAGGCGAGAGTGGAGGATGTACCGATCGATGTCCGGAACCTCAACTCTACCATTCATCGCCAGCATGAACTTCCTGACGATGTTCATCTCCTTTCCGCTGGTTGCGATGGCTACTGCCCTCAGCCAAACACCTACTGCTGCATTTGGGAGAGTCAAGAGATTCAAACTTGCTGCGTTGAGGGGAAAATTGTTCCATATTATCGTTGCCCACGTGGAGAGTTCAGAACCTGCACACGGGGGTATTGCTGTGCTGGAAACAGCTTTTGTGAACCGTGCTAGCTCTGTGGTTCTCTCTGCCCCGGTCGTTTCAACGGCCTGCCCGTTCGCGCGGTAACCTGCGCGCTTGCTTTTTGTTCCCCCCTCACCTCCTTGCGCGAGCCGCCGGGTGGGCTCATTGCAAATGTTGTCGACGGATCGCGCCTCATCGCCGATCTGGATGCTCGGATGCTGCCCCGCCCCGCGGGCGAGCCGCCAAGACGCCGCTCTCTCTCTTTCTCTCTCTTTCTCTCTTTCTCTCGATTTTCACCCCGTTCGGCTAGACGTTAGGCGGGCAATGCCCGCCTCGCCCCGTGGTAGCGCGGGGTCAAAAGATGACCAACAAAAAAAAGAGGTCTCCACGAGGCCTCCCAAGAGGCGCAATTCACTAATGCTTGACGCTTCGCGTGTCCCCACCAGCCCATCCATAACCGACGCCCAGGTGAGTTGAGACGATCAGGTAAGTGTAGCCTCTTGGGGGTCTCTTGGGAGCCTCTTGGGTGCCTCTTGGGCGCCTCTTGGGCGCCTCTTGGAGCCTCCTGGGCGCCTCTAAGGGCCTTGTTGAGGCGGTCCTCGGAGCGTTAGGGGCACTCTTGGGGTCATCTTGGAGGATATCCATCAAAGAAGAGGAGAGCTTCAATTGGGGCCCCCATTCGGGAGAGGCGCTCTTGGAGCGCCCTTGGGCGCTCTTGTTTCCGTTTTGGGGCTCCCTTGGGCCTCTTGGGGCCCTCTTGGGCCCTCTTGGAGCCATCTTGAGGCCTCGGAAGGCCATCGAAAGCAACAAGTTGAGAAGGTAAACTACTTTGATAGTCTTTCGGTTTTTGAAGGATGTTTGCCTCTTAGCGTCCTCCTGGGGAGGTTATGTGGCCACTTGGAGCCGTCTTGGAGCGGTCTTGGGGCCTCTTGGAGCATCTTGGAAATCGTCTTGAGCCATCTTGGGCCATCTGGAGCCATCTTGGCGATCATCTTGGGCTCTCTGAGGCCCTCTTGGAGCCATCTTGGGCCAGCTTGGACGCTCCAGCCCCTCGGCAAACGCCCCCTCCAGGTCCAGGGGAGGTGGTGAAGGGGGAGGGGCAAGCCCCTCCCCGAGGGGGAAGAGGGAGTTGTGCACGAGGAAACGCTCTAAACCACCGACGCCTAGAGGGCTGGTGGGATTTATTTGCACTTGTTGCCAAACTTTGGTTTTCTCGCTTGTTCTGCTTCCCGGCGCTCCAAGGCGGCCCCAGACGCCTCCAAGGGCGCCCCAATGTGGATCGAGAGGCTCCCAGGAGAGCCCCACGGCGCCCCCAGGGAGAGCTCCAGGACGGCCCCGAGGGGCCTCCACGAGGGCTTCGAAGGCTTTCCAGACGAGGGCGAAGTCCGCCAACCCAGGGACTTGACCGAGGTGAGCTTGTCCCCTCGCGGCCAGGCAACTGTTTATGAAGAGGTCGGTCAGTAGAGCCCTTGTTGCCGCTGTCTGCTAGCCTGTACAGAACATGGGCAACTCGCTTGCGCACCAGGCTCGAACGGTGTGTCAGCCTGCCTTGCTTGCTGCTCACCCTGTCCTTGCCGCTGCCGCATTGGGGCTCAAGGATCCTTTACCACGCCCACTTTACAGAATAAGACTTGCTTCGCACGCTGTACATCGCTCTACAGTTTCCCTTCACGGAACACAATCATCCACCTTCAACATCCCCATTAGCCTCCTCCTCATCCTCCTTCCCCCCCCCCGCTTCCTCCTCCTCCTCCTCCTCCTCTTGCCCCTCCTCCTCGTGCTCTTCCTCGTGGTCGTTATCTTAGTCGTCGTCGCAGAGAAGTTGTTGTCCCTCTATCGTTTGGTGGGTTTGATGATGTTTTCTTCCGGGGAATCATCCATTGTGGGCTACAGACCGTACGCGCGAAAGGATGTATGAACCTCTTCTCATAAGGCTGACAATCGGAGTCCTTGGTTGTGGTTGTAGTCGTGATTGTGGTCGTGGTTGTCATCGTGATTGCAGTCGGGATCGTAGTGGTAGTCGTAGTCGTAGTCGTGGTTGTGGTGGTGGTGATCGTCGTCGTCGTCGCGGCGGAGGTTTTTTTGCACGAATGCTCGCCGCGCAGGGTCATGCTTGGGTATTTCCCAACGAGTAATGATTTTGGGCGACCCTGCACGACAACGAAATGTGGAGCATGTTTGTACGAGGATTGTCATATAGATCGACACATGTTCCGCCGAAGGTGTCGTTCGTAACCCGTTGCTAGTCGTCGTGATCGCCTCTGTAACCGTACCTAGTCGTATCGTGGTCGTCGTCGCTGTAATCGTAGTTGTCGTCGTCGTTGTTGTGGTGCGGCGGGTGCCGCTCGTACAGTCGGGGCCCTGAAGAAGGAACCCTTTTCGTTGGGGAGGGGCTCGGTGTTCCTGGATTGTTCTGCAGTTTGCCTTTTGTTTTCCTCAGGTTTTCCATGGGAAGTCGAAGCTCAACTTATCGGAGGAAGGGGCCCCGTTCCTTATTTAGGGTTCCTTAGGTCAACGCCCCGACTGTAAATAATTAGCTCCTACTCCGTCAAGAAGGTCGCCGAACAGATAATCAGTTTCCACTTTCGGGGGGGTCTAGAGATCCATCCCGATGAGAAAAGCGCGGGAGCGGGGGAGGGGCGGCCAGGCGTGGAGGGAATGGGGGCTCACAGAGAGAAGGATCGTCCGCTGGCGACTATATTCCTATCCAGTTTCTTTTCTCGCGCTACGTTGCTGGTGATCGCGGGACCCTTTTGTGCGGGGGCCTTTCGACCTGGAGGGATCACTCGCGTGCGATTCGTTTCTTGTGCCTCTTCTTGCCTCTTTCTTAGTATCCTCATCAGTCTCTTCTCCGCCCAGTGCCGATGCGATTCCCGTGGGTGTTCCATCGAGCTGCCCCGGTGTCTGGTTAGCAACCACTGCCTTCTCCTCTTCCTCTGGCGGGCTTCTCTCCCCTTTCGACTCCCCCATTTTACGCGTTGCCGCCGCCCGGACAAGATGTTGTGCAGCTATCGTCGATGGTTCGTCGTGGAGAATACGATCACGCCTTCCTCCTCTTCCTTTTCATTCTCACCGTTGTCCGTATCTTGGACCCCGCCTGCTTGTACCTAGTCGGGAGCCCTCTGAGCTCGTCAGGTGTTTCCTGTTTTCGAGTGGTGCTGCTCCCGGACCACCCTTTGCCAATCAATCAATCAATCAATCAATAACGCCGTGTCTGCACGAGACATCGGCTGCAGAAGTGTCGTCGGTTGGAGGCGTATGTCTAGACCAGGGCACCACAAGTAAGGACAGTTCAGGAAAATAGGGTCCCGGCTGGCGATTGTCTTCCACACGTGCGGGCTACAGCGTTCACCACCGCGATATTGAGACAGCTCTCTCTTCGCCAGATCCAGGAAAACAGAAGCTCCCGCAGCAAAGCCGCCACCACGTCAGCGATCTTGGGCTGTCTCGAGGGCCCTCTTGGCAATCTAGCGATTGTTTTAGGGCCCTGGGGCCGTCTGAGGACCCTTTTACAGCCGTTTTCCGATTCGAGCTTGAATTCCGCCTGGGAGTTTTCGACGCGGGCATCTTGCCCGCGCCGAAATCACCATCTCACGTCGTCGTCGTCGTCGTCGATCGCATCCAGTATTGATGGCAGTAAACCCATTGTAGAACTGATATTGATCCGCACACTGAGCTGCCCGCAGCCTCAAGATGGGGCCGATTTTGGGTGCGGGGCTGGATTGCGCTGCCGGTTTGTGCCTGGGCGTCACGTGCGCCATGGGTACCCTGCGGGGCGCACGTTGAGCCTCCTATCGGTACCCTTTAAATGTTATGGCACCCAGCGTCGGACGGTGCTGGGTACGAAACCCTGGCAGACTATGTGGGAATGACGCCTGGGCGACGTTGATCCCCCGACCTGAAAGGTTCAGTATGGGTTCGACATGGGCACGGCATTCTCGCAGACTATGCGGGAGTCATGTTGGACCTCTGATTTAAGAGGTTCAACATGGGCATGTAATCTTCGCATACTATGCGGGAGCCATGTTGAGCCTCTGATTTGAGAAGGTCACCGTGGTCTCAGAGCAGAGTAAGCACGACAGTTCCACATACTGTCGGAGGCATGCTGAGCTTCTGACCTGAGAGACTCCACATGGGCCCAACATGGGCACGACATCTTCAAGTTCGACGGGGGAAACATCTTGAGCCCCTGGCGTGAGGCCTTCACGGAACATTCTGAAGGCTTCCACGCGGCTTCAACAGGGCCAAGCAATCTTCGAGGACTGCGCGAGGGTCGTCGGATCTACGCCGACGAGGCAGCGGCGATTTGAAATGAACATCTACCCCGGAATCTGAAAACGGCTGTCGGCCGTCTTGGGAGGAGGAGGAGGAGGAGGAGGAGGAGGCCCCCTTGGGGCCAGCCCAGGGCTCTTTTGGGGCTGCCCTCGCGGGACTCCCAGTGGGCCACGTTTGTCTCCCGAAGGCTGCAGTGCCACCGATCTTTGGCCGAAGAGCTGGAACGCGAGAGCCATAGAGTGCCGGGCCTTTTTTCCACCATCACCACCACCATAAGTTGGAAGGGGAGGAAGAGGAGGAGGAGGAGGAGGAGGAGGACGACGACGCCCACGAAGAGAAGGAGGAGGAGGAGGAGGAGGAGGAGGACCCCCTCCCCCTCCAACTCATGGTGGTGGTGGTGGAAAACAGGCCCATCATAGAACAACCAGGGCAGCATCGAGTGTTCGGGGGGTGAGTTGAGGGGCTTCTTCGGGGGCTCTTGGGATCTGTCCGGTGATTCCCTTCTGGGCGTTTCTTGGAAGCTGTTGGGCACCTCTTTCAGTGGGGGGTGGACAGACCTCCCACCCTGACACGTCGATGAGTGAATTGTCCGTGTTCGGTTCTCGAGAGGGCGCCGCGGCCTTCATTTTCCAGGCTTGCGCCCGCCAGGTTTGGGCCCGAGATCGTTTTCACTAAACCACGTTTTGCTAAATGGGTTGCTGTCCATCCCCGATGCAGGACAGATTGGGCCACTGTTGCGGCCTTACAGTCGGGGCCCTGAAGAAGGAACCCTTTTCGTTGGGGAGGGGCTCGGTGTTCCTTGCTTGTTCTGCAGTGTACCTTCGGTTCTCCTGAGGTTTCCCATGGGAAATCGAAGTTCAACTCATGGGAGAAAGGGGCCTCGTTCCTTATTTAGGGTTCCTTAGGTCAACGCCCCGACGGTAGTGGCCTGTCTTGCCGCATCGGAGACGTCGGATAGCCCTGGAGAGCGCCGGGGAGGCGGCGGGCCGCCACGAATCTGCGGAGGGGACTGGCGATGCATGCGACAGCAGGGGACAGGGTGGGTCCCTTTCTTCTCCTTCTTCTTATTATTATTTTTATATTTACTACTACTACTACTACTACTACTACTACTACTACTACTACTACTACTACTACTACTACTACTACTACTACTACTACTACTACTACTATTACTATTCTTATTCGTATAATTATTATTATTCCTCTTCTTCCTCCTCCTCCTCCTCCTCCTCCTCCTCCCGGGAACATCAGCGATGTCCGCCTGGGTGGGTCCCTTTGATGACTTACACGTGCAAGCGCTGCCAGGTAGCACTTGGCATTCTACCGCGCCTCAGCGTTCGAAGGGCCACGCTGGCGGATATCGTTGATGTTCCCAGCAGCAGGAGGAGGAGGAGGAGGAGGAGGAGGAGGTGGAGGAGGAGGGAGGAGGAGGAGGAGGAGGGAGGAGGCGGAGGAGTGGAGGGTGGTGGGGGTCTTCGTCGCGCCGTTTTTGCCCGCCCCTCGCGGTGTGCGACTGTTGCCTGGCGCTTGTGCGCCCCCGTGAGCCCGATGACTTTTTAGTTGTTGGTCGTTCCCCCGCTCGTCCCCCCCTCTGTCGGCTGCTCCCCCGAGGGCCCCCCCCGCAGCGCGGCTCCCCTGCGGGTGAGCCCTGCGCTCCTCGCTGGGCCGCGCGGGCTTCCGGCCGGCCGCTCCTGCGGCCTCGGCGGCACTGCCGGGCGCCTCTCCGACGCATTCCGCCGCGCCGGGCTGCGCCCGCGGCCTCGAGAGGCCGACACCTGCGCGAACACTCAGAGCCCCGATTCATCAGGGGTAACTCGGGTCAGGGCTAACTCGGGTTCGTTTTTCGGGAATCCGAACCCGAGTTACCCTGGACCCGAGTTACCCCGGATAACTCGGGCGCCCAGAGCCCCGAATCATCAGGGGTAACTCGGGTCAGGGCTAACTCGGGTTCCTTTTTCGGGAATCCAAACCCGAGTTACCCTGGACCCGAGTTGCCCCGGATAACTCGGGCGCCCAAAACACGAGGGGCGCAGGCTGCCATTTCCGATACGGGCGCTGCCGGTGCCGCTGGGCGTCCCAGCCACGAGACACGTTGTTCCCTCCTGGCGACGGCGGGCGCGGCGGGGGGGAGGGCCGGGAGGGGGGCAGGGGGCCAGTCTCGTCACGATTCGCGCCAACGCCGGCCGGGAATGTTCAGGACAGCTGATTTCCAGGCTGCTCTGGCGCGAACCGTGACGTTGCCAGGGCGCGATCGCGCAACAAAAGAAGATTCCGCCCGTCCCTCCTCTTCCTGATCTTCGCCACTTTCGTCGCCCTTTCTGGTCCCTCCCCTGTGCTGCGCCACCTCGGCTGTTGGCACGTGTCGCGCGTCGCCTTCGTCTGGCTTGGCCGTCGTCGAGCTACAGCTCCGCGTCGCGCGCGGTCGGCATCACTGGGTGACCAAGCCACCTCCCCGCCTTGCCCGCCCCCTCCTGCCTATCCTGTTTGCCTTCTCTGCCACACCTGCCGTTGTTGGCCTCACATCGCCACCTCGGCCTGGCGGTGGCTCTCTGGCTCGTGCTGGTTTCGCCGCGGCCGCTCGGATCTTTGCGCCGGTCAGTGGTGCCACCCCCAGCCCCGCCTCTCCTCGTTCTTCTCTCTCGTCGGGCCAGTCGCTGGCGCCTGCCTTTTTCCGTCTGTCGCTCGTGCATCGCCTGGCCTCCCTGCTCCGGTGCCGCCTGCGCGCGGCTTCTCGGACGTCTCGCAGTTGTCCCGGAAGCCAATTCGCTTTTGAGGGTGGCCCCCCGTCGTGTTCCGCTAGCTGGTTTCGCTGGCGCGCCGAAGGAAAACGTGTGTGTACACAGTGGGAAGGAGAGGGGGTGGGGAGGAGGAGGAGGAGGAGGAGGAGGTGAGGAGGAGGAGGAGGAGGAAGAGGATGCTGAGGAGAGTAAAGATGATGGCAGCGATGGTGGTGGTGATGATGATGACGATGGTAATGTGGATGATGACGACGGCGATATGATGATGGTGATGATGATGATTCCAGAGATGACGACGACGATAATGATGATGATGCTGCTGATGATGATTATGGTTATAATGATGATGATGATGATGATGATGATGATGATGATGATGATGATGATGATGATGATGATTATGGTTATAATGATGATGATAATGATGGTGGTGATGATGATGCTGATGGTGATGATGATGGGCATGATGGTGATGATGATGATGATGGTGATGGTCATGGTGATGGTGATGATGCTTATGCTGATGCTGATGATGCTGATGGTGCTGCTGATGATGATCATGCTAATGCTGATGCTAATGATGATGCTGATGCTGCTGCTGATGATGATCATGCTAATGCTGATGCTAATGATGATGTTGATGATGATGATGGTGATGATGGTGGTGATGATGATGATGATGATGATGATGATGATGATGATGATGATGATGATGATGATGTGGACGAGGATGTGGACGAAGATGTCGAGGAGGAGGAGGAGGAGAAGGAGAGAGAGAGAGTGGAGGAGGAGAAGGACACGGAGGAGGAGGAGGATGAGGAGGAGGAAGAGGTCGGAGGTCGGAGGTCGGTGGTCGGCGAGCGCGCGGGGAAGAACGCGGGTGCGTCCGCGCGTTGGCGCGCCCGAGGTCGCTGTGTCCCATGCGCGCGGGGGGCGGCGCCGCCGCGCTGGAGGGGCTCCGAGGGGCCTCGAAAGAGGGCGACGAGGAGGAGTGTGAGGAGTGGCGGCGGTGATGATGAAGAGGACGAGGAGGGGAAACATGAGGAGGTGGAGAAAGAGGAGGAGGCGGTGGAGAGTTCTGAGGACGGGCAGCCGAGGGCGAGGAATATGATGATGCTGATGATGATAATGCTGATGATGAGGATGCTGATGATGATGCTACTGGTGACGAGGATGATGCTGATTATTATGATGATGATGTTGATGATAATGATGATGATGCTGATGATGATGATGGTCTTGGTGATGGTGGTTGCGATTGTGATAGTGTTGGTTATGGTGATGGTGGATGGTGGTGATGATGCTGCTGGTGGTGATGGTGATGGTTGCCTTGATGGTGATGATGATATCGATGGTGATGGTGATGCCGATGGTGATTATGATGGTAGTGGTGATTGTCAGGGTGATGATGATGACGATGATGACGATGCTGTGTGTGATTAGGATGATGGTGATGATGGTGATGATGGTGATGATGGTGATGATTGCGATTGTGGTGATAATAATGATGATGATGTTGATGGTGATGATGCTGATGATGATGATGATCATGCTGATGCTATTCCTGCTGATGATGATGATGGTGATGATGATGATGAGCAGTAGGAGGAGGAGGAGGAGGAGGAGGAGAAGGATGATGATAATGCCGATGAGGAGGAAGAGGAGGATGCGGATGAGAAGAAGGATGCGGACACAAGGAGGGCGAGAACGGCGAGGACGTGGATGGTGAGATGATGTGAATAAGGAGGGCGAAGCAGATGATGATGAGGACGAGGGTGAGGAGGAGTAGGAGGAGGGGGAGGGCGGAGGGGGAGGATGGCGATATATGGGGGGAGGATGGGTCCCCATCATCCCCCCACATACCGGCATCCTCCCCCTGGCACCGATTGGCACCGTGTGGCTCTGCCACATTTGGCGCTCCCGATCGTATGTTGCGAAGTTGTGCCCGTCCACCCATCCCCAATTATGCGTCCAATGCCGTTTTATGTTCGGCCCCTTGGGCGCTTGGGTGTGTTCGAAGCGAGAAGAGCCGCATGGACGGGGGAAGCGACATGGGGGAGAGATGGTTCAGGGACTCGGCGATTGGCGACGATGTGTTGGCGATGAGATGATCATGTTGCTTGGGATGACTGCTGCAGTGGTAATGGCAACAACGTCGGCAATGACGTCCATGATTGGTGCTGGTAGTCCGTGATGATGGTAACAACGACGACGACGGCGCTGACGACGATGACGATGTTGTTGTTGATGTGGTTGATGATGCTGATGATCATGCTGATGGTGATGATGATGACGACGCCGCTGATGGCGATAATTTTGGTGACGGCTGATGACAATCCCGATCACGATCATGATGACGATGATGATGGTGATGAGGATGATGCTGATGCTGACGATGATGTTGTTGTTGATAATGATGGTGGTGGTGATGGCGGTGATGGTTGTGATGATGATAAGGAGGAGGATGGTGCGCTGATGATGATGGCGATGCTGTTGATGATGATAATGCTGATGGTGATGATGGTGCTAATGATGCTGATGATGAGGAGGAGGATGAGGCTGATGCTGATGCAGATCGGGAGGATGATGATGATGATGATGGTGATGGTGGAGAAGATGAAGATGTAAGTGATAAGGATGATGAAGAAGATGATGATGATGATGCTGATGATGATGATGCTGATGCTTATGATGATGATGAGGAGGAGGATCAGGATCATGATTGTGATCATGATGACGATGATACTGATGATGCTGATGGTGATGATGCCGATGATGCGGATTATAATGCTGATAGGAATGCGGAGGATGCGGAGGGTGAGGAAGAGGATCAGGGAGGGGAGCATGACAGTAGAGTTGGCACGTCAATATAACACCAGCCTACCAGCACGTGCCGCACGCACATCGCTCATCCCCCGAATCAGGCCCAGCAGAAAGCACTACATTCAGCATACCACACGTGGACGCTGGATGCTCCTCAGTTGTCCTGTCTATACAGCTCTCGTCGTACGCTTTTCTGCAATACTGATGGCGCCTACGCCTTTGCACCGCCCACTCCTGCTTTTGCAGACGACTGTGGGCCTTGAAGTGTCGCGCGGCAGTACGGCGCCAGTTGACGGTGTGCCCCTTCCCCAGCCGCTGGGAAAAAATTCTAGGGAGCAAAACCTTGGAAGGGCCCTCTCATGAGTCCGTTTTGTGCCGCTTAGAGTTAAGTCGGGCCCGTCCCTCCACAGAAGGAATATCAAAAAGATAGTCATAATAGTTCGGGGACGACGTTGTGACTATTTTTGAGTATCTACTGAGTATATTTGGGGTATCTTTTATTTTTCGTCCAAACCCCGCCTGTAGGGGGACATGCCTGACCTACGTTTGGGGGCGCTGCTGCCTTCTGGGCAGGGCGGGAGATTCCCGCCCCCCCCCCCTCCTCCCTCCTCCCTCCCCCCTCCCCCCTCCCCCCTCCCCTCCTCCCGCCTCCCTCCTCCCTCCTCCCTCCTCCCTCCTCCCCCCCCCCTTCCACTGGCACTCCTGGAGCGCGCCCGCATTCCAGCGGCCCAGGCTGGCCTGCGACTCCGTGCACCTCTCCGCCGACGGCGCGCCCTTCCGCCGGCGCTGGGTGGCGCCACGCTCGGGGAGGGGGAGGAGGAGCGGGGGGAAGGGAGGGCGGGGGATGCGGGGGAGGCGGGGGAGGAGGAAGAGACAAGGACAGCAAGGAGGAGGAGGAGGATGAAGAGGAGGAGGAGGAGGAGGAAGTGGATGAGGAGGAGGAGGAGCAAGTGGAGGAGGAAGTGGAGGTGGGGCAAGGGGTAGGAGCAACGCCATGAACAGCACGTGCGCATTGCATCATGCAGAATCGATGACCTTGTGCTTTCACACTGTCGCGACGACTTGGGACGGATGCCCAGGCAGTTGTCAAGAATCGCGTTTTCCCGTCCTGGCCGCGTGGCCGATGCAGTCTCGCGGAGGTTCTTGCGCGCTTGGCACGTACTGGAGCGTGCTGTATGAGAAAAGGTCTGATCGTTGATTCGCTGTTCCTCTCCTCCAGCTTTGCCTTGCAGTGGCATGTGATCTCTGCTGGGGGTGGTGAAGTTCAGACAGCCGTGCACTTATGCTTCTCTGTCTGAGCTTCTCTTTCAGACTGTCGCAACTCAGCTTGCACATGTCACATCTGTCATGCCAGGGATTGCGCGCCACACAATCGTGTGGGTGGCCAGCCAGACGGTTTGATCAGAGGCGGGTGGAAGTTGCATTACATGTGTTCGTTTACAGCCTTCTAGTCCTGAGCTGTGAAGGCAGAAATCGTGACTCTGGATTCCTAGCACGCAGATGGGCGATGGTGGTGGCAAGAGGTCAATCATGATTTGGGACGGTCGGTCCTCCTCGTAATACCTTCCCAGGAAAGTTGGATTCAGCATCAGGTCCAGATCCTCCATTCTGAACAAGTAAAACGACCGTGTCTCCGAGAGTTCCTCCGAACACGACTGCCTTCACCCGCTTCTTGAGAGCTCGTGGATGGAGACATTGCCCGTGCGTGCGCCTGCAATGTCCTCACGCTCTGGAAAGCACGCGTGCACGCAGTATGCATCTGCTCCTTGGCGCCGCGTGCGGCCGGCTCTCGGTCAGCGGCCAGCGCTCGCCGCCCGACGCTGCCTGCTGCCGCTGATCCGCGGCAGTTCGCGCAATCGCCCGCCTCCGCCTCCGTCTTCCTGCCCCCCCTTCGCTCTCAACCCCTTCCTCCTGTTGCGCAGCTCCTCCCTGTCGCAGCACCGGGCGTGTCCGCAGGCCTGGCGGGGCGTTCTGCCGGAGGCTTCTTTTGCTTACCATCCTCTCTATATATCCCGAGACATACAGCTTCCAAGAGTTGCACGGGGCGGAGGGCCGGTGGCTTTCAAGATTTGGTCCTCCCCGGAGCACCGCGCGCAGTCTTCCCAGAGGCCTCCAGCAGCTCCCCGGGCGGAGGGCAGCGTTTTCAACAGGTGCTTCTCGCCTGCGCGCCGCGCGCATCCGTCTCAAACCCTTCGGCCAGCTGCGCGGAGGGAGGCCCGCGCTCGTTCTCGACAATGGGGGGTGTCCCGCCCGAGGCTTCTTCCAACCTTGCCACGGGTGGGACTTGGCGCAGCCGTTGCACGGACGGAGGGCGGCTCCTTCACGACATGGGGCTCTCGCTTGTGCTTCTGTTCGTATGCTTGCTCTGGCTTAAAGCCACTTGTTTGAAACAGCCACTTTAGAAGAGCAATGCCAACTTTAGAATGGCATCTTTAAGATGAGCACTTTTCTGACTCTCGCTATGGCTGTTGAATCTGGTACCGTTTCTAAATTCAGCAGCCATATGGATGCAGGGCCGCTCCTTTTCAAAGTGGGGATGTCGCTGGGCACGTCCTTGATCTGTAAAGCCTCCCTTTGTCACACGGCTGGCAACTCGAAGGGTGGATGGTGGTTTCCTTCAAAACGGGGGTCCCGCCTAAATTGCGGGCCCATGGTGCACTCGTATTTCAAGGGGCGGGCCCCCCGGAGTGAGAAAACATGGTTGTAGGGACGAAGGAGTCAGGAGGGGATTTGGGACGGGAGCGTGTGTTGCAGCATCGTTGATGCATCTCGGGCTTGCTCTAGGCCCCATGCCTTTCCTCCGCTTGTTCCTCGTCCTCCTTTCCTTGCTTCTCCTCCGTCCACGATCCCCCTCAATCTCTGCCCTCACCGTCTTCCTTCTGCTCTTTCCTTGTCCTCCGCCTGTCCCTCCCCCCCTCCCCTTCTCGCCCTCGTCTGTTCTCCCTCGTCCCTTATTCTCCCCATTATTTTCAATCCCTTTGCCCTCTTTCATCCTTCCTACCTCCCCCCCCTCCGCCTTGCCCTTCTCCTCGCCCTCTTCCCCTCCTCCGCGGGCCTGAGGCCGAGCCCGAAGCTATTTAAGGGGCTGATTTTATGGAGGGTTGCCCTATCGGCACGCGCGGGCGGGGCCGTCATCCCCCGCCCGGGATCGAAAAGCTTCCTTCGACGGGGCCCCGTCCGTTTGGACTCTCCCCTCCATGTGCGCCTAACCTCTCATGACGCCAACATCGCAGAGCGGATTTCGTTTGTAAAACGATAGGATGGGCCCAGAGAGTCCTGGAGAATTCTGTTCGGATTTCGAAGTAAATTTCGCGCGGGTATTTTCTTGGTCAGGAATGAAGACTAAACAAAGTCCACGTGAAATTCACTTCGGTTTTCGCTCGCCGCTTCGGGGCTTTGCAGAAATCCACGCAAAGAATCCGCTGCAGCACGTTTGCAAGGTCGGAGCAGTGAAACCTGCTCCTCCGCCCTCTCCTCGTCTGCCTCCTGCTCCTTCCTCGGTCCGCCTCCCCGTCCCTCCCCTCGGGCGGTCCTGGGGCCTCCGGCCGGCGCGGTCAGCCGAGGTGCTGCACGGGGATCTCCTCGTGGTCTGCGCGCCAGGCTCCCGTGGCGGGGATCCCCTCGGGCACCAGCCGTTGCTGGCCGCGTCGTGCCGCACGGTTTTTTGGGAGGGCGGAGCGCGCGGAGGGAAGGCCTGGGAAACCCCACTCAGTGGATGGCTTAGCTGCTCTGATACGCACGTTTTGAAACATAACACGTGCGGTGTTCAAATCGTCCGTGTTCAAAACGTACGTGTTCAGTCTACGTGCTGAGCTCCGTATCGATACGCTTCGTGTTGCGTGTTGCGTGTCAGGGCAGCTAAGGTGGATGGTTTGAAATGAGATGGATGAAGAGATCGATGAGGAGATCGACCGGGAACCGGGGAACCCAGAAGCGGGAACCAGGGAACCCAGCCGGCTACCAACATCGGTGGGAACTTTTCGCCAAATCTGCAAATTTCCGTTAGGACCCCTTCAGTGCGAGCACTGATTGGGGAACAAGGGCCTCTTCTTCGAGGATTGGAGGATCGGCCACGTGCGTTCGATGGTCTCCCAGGTGTGCCCGTGCCTCCCGGTTCGTGGGCGTGCCAGCTCCCATGCACGCACACAAACACACTCAACCACACGCACAGACACGCACGCTCACGCACACGCACACGCACACATTCACACATACATTCATATAGAATACATGCATGTTTATATACATGCATACATACACGCATACATACATACATACATACATACATACATACATACATACATACATACAGACATACATACATACATACATACATACATCCATACATACATACATACATACATACATACATACATACACACACATACATACATACATACATACATACACACACATACATACATACATACATACACATACATACCTACATACATACATACATACATACATACATACATACATATATACATACATTCATCCACACATACACACAGACATACACACACATACATACATACATACACACATACATACATACATACATACAAACATACATACATACATACATACATACATACACATACATACATACATACATACATATACACATGTATACATATACATATACATACAGTCATGCATGCATGCATGCATGCATACATCCACCAATCCATCCATCCATCCATCCATCTATCCATACAAAGATACATGCGTACGTACGCATACCTACATGCATACACATGCGCATCCATACATACATACATACATACAGACATACATACGTACATATATACATACATACACATACATACATACACACATGCATACATACATACGCACATCCATACATACATCACACATACATACATGCATACATGCATACACGCATACATGCATACATGCATACATGCATACATGCATACATGCATGCATGCATGCATGCATGCATGCATGCATACATACATACATGTGTACATACACACATACATATACACACGAACACACACACACACACACTCGAACACGCACGAACACACACACACAGACACGCACGCACACGCACACGCACACGCACACACAGCTCGGTGGTGGGACGTTTTGTGCTGTGCTGTGCCGTGCTGTGCTGCCCGGCCTCGCGCGCGCGCCGTGGTGCGTTGCGGCGCGCAGTGCCACTGCAGCGGGGTGGGCCAGTGTGGCGTGGCTGACGGTTCTTCGGACATGGCGGTGCTGTTATGGCAGGGTCTCCGTGAGCTTCGCCGTCTGTGATGTTGTCCGGAGAGACAGTCGCTCGAAAGGCCCTTCGTGTGATCCTGGCCCCACAGGCTGGTCTCGGCTGGTGTTGCGCGCAGGTCATCGCCGTTCGCCCTGGTCGCCTTTTTTTTCTTCCTGCCTCTTCCCCTCATCTCCCGCTCGGCGCCACGTGGCTCCCAGGAGTCGTCGTCCCCGTCCGAACTCTGCGGCATGTGCGACCAGCTGTTGGCCCAGCATTGCGTGGTCAAGGTGGGCCTCGCACCCGGGCGGCTCGGCGCTGTCTTCCTGGAAGCCGCTCCTGAGGGAGTCCGTGGTCAATGAGACCGTCCTGGGCGCTTTCGGCCCCGTGCTGTGCTGCGAAGCGCCCCCTCCCAGGGCGTTGTCCTCTTCTTCTTCTTCTTCTTCTCCTTGTTCGTATTATTCTTCTTCTTCTGGTCAGTCTTCTTCTTCTTCTTCTTCTTCGGGAACCCACCGCGAACTCCTCGAAGCAGGCACGGCGAAAGATTGAAACAAAACTTCGATTCAACATAATCGCGAGCCCTCAGTTGGCTCGTTGTGCCAGGATCGATATCCTGGCGGAAGCCTTCCCGCGGCCGAGGCCCTCATCACGCGAATCCCCGACTCCGCGCGACTGCTGGGGAAGCAAGGTCTGGTCAGCTCCCGAGCTTGAGCGGTGCCCTTCCCCTGGTTGGATCGGGCCCCGCAGCTTCCGCGCAGCTCACGCCAGAACGCGCCCTCTGTCAGGTGAGCTCTGTAAGACTGATGCAGGGGCTCGGGGGGCCTTCCAGAGCAACCACCCCCCAGCCACTCCACCAGGAGGAGGAGGGAGGAGGAGGAGGGAGGATGAGGAGGACGGAGTTATTCTTCGAGGAGGAGGACGAGGACGATTAATCGGAGGAGGAGGAGGAGGAGGAGGAGGAGGAGGAGGAGGGGGACCCGGCCCCTCCCGGCCCCCGCCCCGCAGCCACTGCACTCCCACCCGTGGCTGTCTCGAAAGGGCGCATGGGCCGACGAGCGGAGGTCTCCCCTCCACCTCCAGTCAGGAGGGAAAAAAACACACAGACACAATTCATCGTCCATTCCCAAGAAAATATGGGAAAATATGGGAAGTGGGGGGGAAAACAAAAACTCAGAAAACATGGGAAAACATAGGGAATCCTGTTAGATGTATGTATTTATTTGTGTGTCCCAGGGCCCCTTCATCCAGCTCGTCCTCCCTCTTCCGAGCCTTCCCCTGGGCGATCCTCGCGGCCTTCGTCGAGCGGCCATAGAGAGCATGGGCCTTTCTGGCCACCTCGTGCGCCATCGCCAGCACGTGCTCTTGAGCCTGCCAAGCGCGGAGGCCCTCCTCGACCATGCGGCGAACTTCCCACGGTGGCACTGGCACCGGACGCTCTCGGGCCGACTCCTCCGCCCCCCCCCCCTCCGACGCCCGTTGGCTAACCAGTGTTGCTGGGTGGCACCAGAGCGGCCTTCGATTTCGGGAACCGCGTAAGATTTGACTTTGACCATGCGGGTCCTACGGCCTCGGCCAGCTTCCAGAATTCACGCCATACATATTTGTTGACACTTGCCCACAGCCCTTCCAGAAGGCTTTGGCAGCCGTTCCAGAAAGCTCTGACAGCCCTTCAGAAAGCTCTGACAACGAACGTGATGTCCCCTACAGTTGCCTTCAGGGCCTCCGTGGCACCCACAAGCGCGCTGCGCCAGCTTCGCCCTTGCCGCAGAGTGGGGCGACAGTGAAGTGTCCAGGGGCGAAAGGGAGAGAAACGGGGAAGAGGCCGCGCAGCGTCCGGACCTGGTGGGCGGCAGCGATGAGGCTGGGCGGCAAGAGGCGGTCGGGCAGCCCGGCCCAGTTGGCGGGCGAGGTCGCACAGTGCGCGCGTCGTCAAGGCGGCCCGCGGGGCCGCCCGTGCAAGGGGCATGGGCTGGCGTCGGCCGTCGAGTGGGAAGCTGGGTGACTCGCCGAGGAAATTCTGCGCCCAACGCGGCCCAGATCGCAGCAGCTCTGGGAGGTCCCGGGGGGGCCAAGCAAGCATGGCGCGGAAAGGCGAGGGCAGCAGTGGCCCGAGAGGTGGCAAGGAGGCATGTCAGGCAGGCCCAGACCCCGAAAAGGTACTCGGGTTCCCCGGGATCCTTGGGTCCCCCGGGTTCCTCGGGTTCCTCGGGTTCTTCGGGTTCCCCGGGTTCCTCGGGTTCCTCGGGTTCCCCAGGTTTCTCGGGTTCCCCAGGTTCCTCGGGTTCTCCAGGTTTTCCAGATTCCTCGGGTTCCCGGGGTTCCCCGGGTTCTCAGGGTTAATTATTCGGGTTTCTCGGATTCTTCCGGTTCCCTGGGTTCCCTGGGTTTCTCGGATTCCCTGGGTTCCTCGGGTTCCTCGAGTTCCCCGGGTTCTCGAAGCAACGCCAAGCAACGCCAAGCAACGCCAAGCAATGCCAAGCAATGCCAAGCAATGCCAAGCAGTGCCAAGCAATGCCAAGCCACGCCGCGCAATGCCAAGCAGTGCCAAGCAACAATGCCGAGCACGGCGTCCATGCAACAGGAAGGCTTCCCCTGGTGTAGGCCTCCTAGATGGGGTCGGAGTAGATGGGGTCGGAGGATTGCGCCGCATCGCCGATGCATCGCCGATGCGGCTCGATGTGCAGCCCGATTCGCCTCACGTCGACGTCGCCGATGCATCGCCGACATCGGAGATGCGGCGCGATCCTCCGACCCCTTCTACTCCGACCCCATCTACTCCGACCTCATCTAGGAGGCCTCTACAGTATGTGTTGCGCAGGTTTTTTTTTTGTTCTACGCTCCTGCTGCTGTCGTCGTTTCGTACGCTGTGCTCCCGCTGCGGCGTGGGCCTTCTTGTCTTCGCATCGGCGCACTGCCCCCTGTCGCTCGGAGAGGCTCAGGAGTGGGGAAAAAAGCACAGACACCAAGAATCGTCGATTTCCAGGAAAATGCTAGGGAACTATGGGAAGTGGGGGGAAGACGAAAACCCAGAAAATATGGGAAACTATGGGGGATCCTGGGATCTGTGTGTGTGTATGTATTTGTGTGTCCCTGGGCCCCTTGAAAGGCGCTCTCGCCCCAGCACGAGTCACTATTCTGGATCCGGGTCCTGTTTCCTCGTTGTCGCCCCTCTCAGTTCCCCTCCTCCGCCCTGCCCTAGTCCTCCTGCTCCTCCCAGTGCTTCCACTCCAGCTCCTTCTGCTGCTGTTCGTCCTCGTCCTCCTCCTTCCTCCTCCTCCTGTTCCTCCTGCTCATCCTCCTGCTCATCCGCCACCTCCTCCCCCAAAGAACCATGGGGTCCTCTTTGGAGCTCCAGGTCCGCCATGACACGCGTCCGCGGATAAAGACATCATCAGGTGGCGCGAGCACACCTTGGCCTCCCTCTTCTCCTTGTCCTCGCTCCCTCCCTCTTTCCCTCCTTTCCCACAGGGCTGGACCTAAACGTTGTTTTTCGTTTTGTTTTCGTTTTGTTTTTCGTGTTGCTCTACCTGTTTTCCTGTACCCCCCTGCCAAAACGAAAAACAGCACACAGCCGAAGATCAGCAAAACAGCGTTTAGGTCCAGCCCTGCTTTCCCACTCTCCCTTCTCTCTCCCTCCCGTCCCCCTTGCTCTTCGTTGGCCAGCACATGCCCGTCCCCGCGGCCTCACGGCCTCGCGGGCCGGGCCCCGGGCCGCGACCCCGGCCACGGGACGCTTGTGTCTTCTGCGGACGCCCCGCGCGGGACTCGTCCGTGCGACCGCGCACACCCACGGGGTCGCGCCCCGGACCCCAAACCGCGAGGGCGCGGATACGGAGGAGGAGGAAGACGAGGAGGAGGAGGAGGAGGAGGAGGAGGAGGAGGAGGAGGAGGAGGCGGAGGCGGAGGCGGAGGCGGAGGCGGAGGCGGAGGAGGAGGAGGAGGAGGAGGAGGAGGAGGAGGAGGAGGAGGAGGAGGAGGAGGACGAGGAGGAGGAGGAGGAGGACGAGGAGGACGAGGAGGAGGAGGACGAGGAGGATGAGGAGGAGGAGGAGGAGGAGGAGGAGGAGGAGGAGGAGGATGTTCGTTCGCCGCTCGTGACCTCTGGGGGTCCACGCTTGTGCAGAGGCCGCGACGGTCGGAGCTCCGGGGAGTGGGGGCCCCGAGAGGTGCCCTCCCGACGCCGCGCGGGGGGGGCGTGAGGCCGCCCCCCCTCCCAGCGGCAGGGGGCGCAGAGCCTCTTGGGATCGGCTGCACGTCGTCGTCGTCGTCGTCGTCGTCGGCGTCGGCGTCGGCGTCGTCGTCGTCGTCGTCGTCGTCGTCGGCGTCGGCGTCGGCGTCGGCGTCGGCGTTGGCGTTGGCGTCGGCGTCACTGTCGTCGTCGTCGTCTCGTCGTCGTCGTCGTCGTCGTCGTCGTCGTCGTCGTCGTCGTCGTCGTCGTCGTCGGCGTCGTCGTCGGCGTCGGCGTCGTCGGCGTCGTCGGCGTCGTCGGCGTCGTCGGCGTCGGCGTCGGCGTCGGCGTCGGCGTTGTCGCCCGGGCAGCCAGGCCTCGCCGAGGCGCCCGTGCCCTGCACCGCGGCGGAGCTCGCCGGCGTGGCCGCGACGGCGCTGCCGCTCCGCGGCGCGCGCGCGAGCGTGCAGGCCCCAGGGTCGGGGTAGGGGGGGCTCCTACTCCTGCGGCTGCTGCTGCTGCTGCTGCTGCTGCTGCTGCTCCTGCGCGGGCTCCTCCTTGCTCCTTCATGCTCCCTCCCTCCCTCCCTCCCTCCCTCCTCCTCCTCCTCCTCCTCCTCCTCCGCCTCCTCCTCCTCCTCCCTCCTCCTCATGCATCTCTTCCTCCTCCTCCTCCTCCTCATCCTCCTCCTCCTCCTCCTCCTCCTCATGCATCTCGTCCTCCTCCTCCATCTCCTCCTGCTCCTCCTCCTCATCCTCCTCCTCCTCAGGGACGCTGGCTCCTCCCCACGCTCCCCCTCTCCTTCCTGCTCCTCCTCCTCCTCCTCTTCCTCCTCCTCATGAGCTGAGCGCTGACTGCATGGGATGCTGCCACCCCTCCTCCTCCTTCTCCACCTCCTCCTCCTCCGCCTCCTCCTCGTCCTCATCCTCTGACTTGTCGCCTCAGGCAAACATCAGCAGCGGAGCTGTGGCGCTCTAACCGCCTCCCCAGGTACATTCAGATCTGTAGTTTAGTCTGCAAGCTCGCCGCTAATGTTATCCCAGCTTGGCCGCGCCTCGACCTCTCCAAGTGTCCTCGTGAGCCCTTCGCCCCTGCCTCACGCGTGCCCACTGATACGGGCCCCCCTCATGTCTGGCAGCGGCAGCACTCGATGTGTAAGTGCAAGGCTTGCCGAGCAGGAGCTCGGTCTATATGCATCCTTGTGCCCTGCTTAGTTCAAGGGTCACAGGAAGACCAACTTCAACAACAGGCAGTGCCATGCGTCCATCCTCGTAAGGACTTGAGGTCAGGCTGGCCTGAAGAGCATCGGTCTGGTTTCTGTGCTCGCCCCTCCCTGGAGCCCCCCCCTCTGCTCGGTGAGGTTGGAGGGGGCAATGGCCACGGAGGCTCTCTCCGCCAAGTGGCCGTCGCCCTGGAGGCAGAGCAGGTGGCCGCGGCAGACGCAGCGCTCGGCAGCACCGCTCTGGCGCCCAGCGCTGGCCACCCATCGCAGAAAAAACAGCATCGGCTGGTGGGTCTGCAAGCAGTTCCCTGTCGGGAGCGAAGGCTGATGGGCCTGTTTTCCACCACCGCCACCATCAGTTGGAGGGGGGTGTCCTCCTCCCCCTCTTCTTCTTCCTCTTCTTCTTCTTCTTCTTCCTCCTCATCCTCCACCTCCTTCCCCCTCCCACTTATGGTGGTGGTGGTGGTGGAAAGCAGGCCCATCAAAGGCTGTCAGGCCTGCTCACGAGTCTGCTCTCAGGAGCGCCAGGCTTCGTCGTGTGGCGACCCTGCCCTGAGTGGGGGCAGGCTGTGGCCGCGGGGGCGCCTGTGCGCGGTGCTGGTGGGCTTGCCATGGGGCCAGCCGCCGCGAGTGTTGATCATGGGGGCATTGCTTGATGGGCTTGTTTCCCCCCCCCCCCACACCACCTCCATAAATTGGAGAGGGAAATGAGGAGGAGGAGGAGGAGGAGGAGGTGGAGGAGAAGGAGGATTACCCCTTCCCCTCCAACTTATGGTGGTGGTGGAAAACAGGCCTATCATTGCTTGTCGACCTCCTCTTTGTGTCGACCTCCTCCCTTCAAGCTCTGGCACTGCTGCAGTTGACGTTTCCTGCCAGGCACGCCCTCTGAGCCAAGCCACTACTGCCCTCTCCCCACATGTGAGCAAGGCTCCCTGGTCTGTTCCCTGGCGTTGCACTGGCTTCCCTGGTTTCGGATCAGATTCCGCCTGGGGAGTTGTCCGAGCTCGCGCGCGTGAGGGACATGTTTCTTGGCGAGGAGGAGGCTGCGCGCGGGCTCGGTCTAAGTCCAGACGAAATTCAGACGAATTCAGACGAATCAGAGTAAGGTGTCCCACGCTCATCTCGCCCGTGCCCACAGCCTCGCTCTCGGACCACTTCGCGGCCTGGCCGTTGGAGGTTTCCGTCAGCTGTTTGTTTTCCAGGCGTTGGAGTGCAGGGGATGATCTTTGTGATCCCTTTCCCCTTGCATCGGAGGCTGAGGTGCGGGCCTGCTCCCAGCAAGGCCTCATCCATCTGTGCAGTCGGGCAGGCTCTTGCTGGAGAAGCGGTTGGCGGCGGCCCCGCCAGCATAGCGCAGGGAGACGCCCCTCGAGGAAGCGCCGTCCTCCCTGCTGCATCGTCAGCGCAGGAGTGGATGTCAAAAGCGCATACGTTTCCTCCTGATCCTCCTACTCCTACGCCTCATGGTCTCCTGCTCTCTCCTCTCTTGTCCGCGACCCTAGAGGGCAACGAAATTCCGCCGACCCCCAGAATGGGGGGGATGACGGGGAGAAGGACGATGCTGATGGCGACGGTCATGGCGATGACGATGAGGCTCGCGAGGATGACGACAAGAGAGGGCTACTCCTTGGGGGGGGGCTCTGAGCCTGCGCGGCGCGGGGCTCTCTCGCAAAGCAGGGGTGCGAGCTGCTCCTCGACCGCGGCTGCTGCGGTGCGCCCCCGGCGCCGGCGCTGCTGCGGCTCGTCTTCCCGGGGGCGGCCAGCGCGGCGCAGGAGCGCGGGCGCGGCTGGGGAGGAGGAGGTCGAGGAGGGAGGAAGGACGTGGACGGGGGAGGGAGGCAGGAACCTGGGACGCAGGAGGGGGAAGAAGGAAGGGGCAGGAGTGGGGGAGGCAGGAGGAGATACGAAGGACAAGGGGCGATGGAGGATGAGGACGGAGGAGATGGAGGAGGATGAGGAGGAGGTGGAGGGAGTAAGGAACGGATGGGGGAGAAGGGGGAGGAGGGGGGGACGGAAGGTTGCTTGTGGATGGGGAGGAAGAGCAACAGAGAAGCAGGGCGAGGCAGAAGAAGAGCGGGTGGGAGAGAAGCTCTAGGATCCCAGGGAGGTGTGGGATGCTTGGGAGATGTAGTTCGGTTGGTACGGGGGACGTCTGGCTTTGGATTAACAGTGCGCATATTGTGTCTTGCATGTTCTATAGACGCCGGACCAACTTTGCTTTCAACTTTCACGTGCCGTCGAATGTGGCTCCATGCCCGGGGTCACCTGGCTCTGCCAGGAAACGCACATATGCTTCTAGTTGGAGATCGTTGCCATATTGTGAAGACCTTACGGCCGGTGCCGCCGACCCTGAAGTGGACGACGCCGACGACGACGACGACGACACCGGCGGCGGCGTCGACGGCGACGGCGTTAACGAGAAGCACTCAAACACTTTAGGAAAGGACTGGAATTTACCCTCTTGGGGTTGTCTTGGGAGTGCTCTTGGGGATCTCTTGAGCCTCTTGGAGGCTTCGTGGGCGCCTCGTGGGGCCTCCTGGGGGGCCTGTTGGGGCGCACGGCTCGACATGTCAGTTGGTGCTCCCCCTCTCGGGGGCCTCTTTGGGGCCCCATTCGGCCGTCTTGGGGGCCTCTGGGGCAGTCTTGGGGCCGTCCAGGGCCCTTGCGGGTCCGTTGCCGGGCGCTTTCGGCAGCCTCTCGGACCGTCTTGGGGGGCGATGTTGGTGGCTTCCTGGGCAGTCTGAGAGCGTCGGAAGCTCGAACAGGCGAGGACGCGAAAAGCAAAACAACAAACTTGATCTTCGCCTCTTGGGGCCCTCTTGGGACTCCTCTCGGAACCCTCTTGGGGCACCTCGGGGGCGTCTGAGGCCGTCTTGATGGTATCTTGGGCCGTCTAGGAGCTATCTTGGGCTGTTTCAGGGCCCTCTCGAAAGCAAGCCGCGGTAGAAGTGAGCCCAGGGCATCTGGGAGGCAAGGAATCGAATGGGAAAGTTGCTCCCAGGGGAGATTGCTCCCTCTGGGGGTCGCAACCCCCGGGACCCCCTCCCCCTTGGACCCCCTGGGACCCCCCCTTGGACACCCCCAACACTCCCCCGGCGGGAGAGTGACCAAAGGGAAGGGGCTTCCCTTCGGCTCGATTGCGGCGTTGCTCGATTGCCTCTTGGCTGGAACGTCTGAGGAGGAGGGCCCAGGGACAAGGGGGGCGCGGCGACGGTGACGGTGACGGTGACGACGACGACGACGACGACGACGACGACGACGACGACGACGACGACGACGACGACTCAAATGGACAAGCGACAAGGGAGGGTAGCGGCGGCGACGACGACTCAAGCGGAAAAGCATGTCACGCACGCTGACGGGGTCGGCCGGCCGGCGGAGCTACTTCACGCAGCTTGTTGTGATGCTACCACGGCGAGGGGGCCCGAACGGTCTTTTCTTCTCTTTGGCACACACGTGGCTGGATGGAGGGCCGCGTCTCTGGGGGGGCGCTGCATGCGGGGGCGATGCTTCGGGGCAGCAGATGGGGTCGGCAATGGGAGGGTGGCAATCCACGGGGGCGGCACGCAACAGCGGGGGGCAACACGGGAGGGGGGGGGGGGCAATTTATGGGGACGATGCTCGAGGGTAACACAGAGGGGGCAAGACATGGGTTCGACACACGGGTGCGATACATGGGGGGCAGTACATGGGGGCAAAATAGGGGGCGGCATTTGGGGGCATTACTTGGGGGGAATACATGGGACCAGCACATGAGGGCGATACTTGGGGACAACACAAGGGGGCAACACGCTGGGGCAATACATGGGAGCAATACTTTGTGGCAGAACATTGGGGCAATACTTCCTCCCCCGCTGCCACACCCGCACTCTACTCCGCAACTGCGGGCTGTCACGAAACCATGCTCGCGGAATTCGTCAGTCCGCCTGGATCGTAGCCGATGTGAGGCTCTGTGCTTACACAAAAATGACATGCGTGTGCTCCGAGCTTGTAGCGCTCACGTGCAATCACGAGGAGTAATGCCCTGATGCCGGGAATGGATGCCCTTTCCTGGGGCCTTGCTTGGTCTGCGGCTGGACATGCAACTTTTTTGCTCGGAGTTCAGCCTAGCTGTTGGAAAATCACTCTCTCGCACTTCGCCTGCCCCTGCCACCGCCGCCCGCTTCCCCTTACCCCATCCACGATGTAACCCTCCCCCTCCCCTCCTCCTTCCCCGCTTCCCTTTCCGTCGCCCTCCTCCTCCTCCTCCTCCTCCCCGCTTTTCCCTCCCTCTTCCCCCCTTCCCCGTTGCCCCCCTTGCCTCCTCAGCCGTCCCTCCGTTGTCTCTTCCCTTCCCCCAGCCACCTCCCGATTCCCCGCCCCTCTCCGTCCCCATCGCCGTCCCCTTAGCCCCTTCTCCCTTGCTCTCCGTGTTTTGTCGCGCTCCCTCCTTTCTCCCCCTTCCCGAGCCCGTTGTGGAACAGGGGGCGGAGTGGCAGAACGGGGATGGAGCGTGACGAGGGAAGGGGGAGCGATGAGAGAGAAGGGAGGACAGCGGAGGGCGGGGTAACATGCCGAAGTGAGGAGCTGGATAGATGAGGTAGTGGAGGAGAAGACTGTGTGAGGAATCGGGAGGGTGAGGGGGGAGGAGGAAGAGGAGGAGGAGGAGGAGGAGGAGGAGGAGGAGGAGGAGGTTAAGGAGGTTCAGGAGGATAACGTCGATCAGGGGGTCAGGGGGAGAGGTATGAGGGGAGGAAAGGAGCGGAGGAGTGGATCGGCAAGGGAGTTTAAGAACGCAGGAGCATGTGCAGGAACATGCGTATCGACTAATTGCCATTCTGCGTAGCATTCGTAGTTCTTTATAGGAGGGAGAGAGGGAGGGATGGTGCTGGTGATAACGATCATGACGATTCGACATCTGAGGATGATGAGGACAAGGATGAGGAGGAGGATGAGGATGAGGATGATGATGATGATGAGGAGGAGGAGCATTAGGAGGAGGAGGAGGAGGAGGAGGAGGATAATAATGACGACCACCTATTATCTCCCTCAAGGTGCTCTCACGACCCCCAGTGCTAACACATCCGTGTGAGGCTCCAACAGCTGCGAGAAGTCACCAATAACAAGCTGCAAGCACTTGATATTTCCTCCTTGCCCTCCTCCCCCTTGACCTTTAAATTCCTCCTCCTTGCCCTTCGCCTCCTTTCCTACTTCTTCTTCTCCTCCTCCTCCTCCTCCTTTGGGCGTCCTGCTTTGGGCCCTGTTTTCGCCGGTGCCGAGAATGGGGCCCAAAGAAGACGACGATGAGACGGTGCCTGGGTGCCGGGGTGCCGGGTTGGACTTGGTGCGACGCTGGAAGCCTCGTGGGCTGCGCCTCTCGCGCGCTTGCGCGAGCCGGTGCTGGCGCTGGCGGCGTCGCCGCTGGACATGACGGCCATCTTCAAGTACGGCCGGCGCTGCTCTGGCCGATGGCTCCGCTCCTGATCGAGGACGAGCGCTTCCTGCTGTGCCGAAAGGGGGCGCTGCTCCGGGAGCCCCTTCGAGGCGAACGCGCTCTACGACGTTGAGGCTCTGGGGGGGCCGCGCTGCGTACCGATTTTCGACTTCCTGGAGGCGTAGCGTCGAATGGGCCTGATTTCCACCACCACCACCACCATATGTTGGAGGGGGGCAGGAGGAGGAGGAGGAGGAGGAGGAGGAGGAGGAAGAAGAAGAAGAAGAGGAGGAGGACCCCCTCCCCTCCTACTTATGGTGGTGGTGGTGGAAAACAAGCCCACCAGCGTCGACGTTGAGGACGTGGCGGCGGGCGGAGAGGCACTCAGACGAGGTGGCCCGGCGCAACTTGCCGCAGGTGCGCAGCCTGCAGGGCGGCCCGCTCCCGGCCTGCCTGGCGGGAGGCGTCTGCTCCCGCGAGTCACGCTCGCGCGCGCGTGCGCTGGCGGCAGGGCGCGAGCTGCTCGAAGAGAGCGGCGGCTCCCCCTCTTCGCTGCTCCGCTCGGGGCGGGGCGGGACGGCGGGTGGACGCGGGGAGGCGGCAACCTCAGCGTGAGTTCTTGGATGGCCTGCGGGGGGTCTCCAGGGACGGGCATCGCATCCTGGGGGTCTGGCCCAGGAGAGGCCCCCCCTAGAATGGTCCGGAGCTCCTCCCCCCCCCCCGTGGAGAGGCCGCCGCAGTGGCGTGGAA